GAATAATTGTGAAGTGGCCAGTAGATGATATTAACACGTATAAAGAACACTTACTCTGTTAGATTCGCAATTCTACCCCTAGTTTGTTTGTACTAGTGTTTAAGAACTAGGACTAGGGTTGGGACTCCTCAGGCCCCGATTCACTCAGTCCAATTTGACAAAATCAGAACAAGGTTCGACCAAGTTGGCCCCTGCACACTACGGAGGAGCCCTGGTTTTACTTTTTAGGGCTTTTTTGGCCCCCGTACGCTACTCGACTGAATCCATCGATACTACTCGATTCGGGCCAGGGCTGAGTCCAAGGCCCGAGGCAAGTTTAAAAACATTGTTCTTATTGATTGAGCATGCAGCAAAAAGTAGAAATTCCTTGCAAAAAAACTTTCTCTTGGCTTTCTTCGGGGAATAGAACACTATTTGCTGACTAATTGAAGAAACCAATAACCATCTCTTTCTCTATTACCCATGCTCTTATAAGTTTTGGAAATTGGATTCTTGCTGTTTTTTATTTCAATTGGGTGTGGCTGCAATCAGTGAGGCATCTTGTTCTTCATTGGAGCTTTCTTCCGATTTCGAAATTGGATTGAATTGTTAGATGGAACATTTGGAAAGAAAGAAAGAAATGCAGAACATTTGGTTATGTGATTGGTATATGTATTTTATTATTTTAGCAATTTCTAAAAAAAAAATCCTCGATGTGTAATGAAATACAGTTAGTAAGAAAAAAGCATCGACTGCAACTACTTCCAATGCGTCTTTCTTGCTTGTACTTCACCCGGAAACTCAAACCAATTATAATTCTGTTTAAGAGAGAGAGGGTATATGGTGGGACCAAGTGGTATTATATGTTACTGGAATACTGGGCATCTTTGTGGCCTGAAACCTTCTCTAAACATCACCTGAAAGTTACCTTATTTGTCATGCCCCGAGTTTCGAGTGCCGCACGGTCAGAAGCACGGGGCGGGCTTCAACTAGGGGCATGACATTGTGCTATAGAAGTAACGACCCCAAGTTTCGAGTGCCTCACGGGGCGGGCTTCAACTAGGGGCATGACATTGTCCTATAGAAGTAACGACCCCAAGTTTCGAGTGCCGCACGGGGCGGGCTTCGACTAGGGGCATGACATTATGCTATAGAAGTAACATTGATCATCTTTGATGTCAACTAAAGAAAATGAGTTTGAGTTTGAAATTTCCAGGACTTGAGATCTATTAAGATGGACCCCCGGATGTTGAGTCTTTGACCCCATTTTAATTTTTTGGAAATTTTTGAGCTCCATCTTTTTCTTCTATTTATGGTAATTTAGGGTATGTTTGTTTCATGCAAGTTGTGGCAGCCAAAAGCCATGACATCCACAACCGTAGCATTTCGGATATTTTTTTTGCGACAAGTGTGATGCGTTTTGGAAGCACCAGCTTCCAGCGAATTCCAAGACAATGTGAATTTTGATTTGTTTGTTATTTTTTGAAACCGCTGCTTTGATACTAATCCATAGAAGCAGTGTGAACAATTTGGTCCTCCAAAACCACCTAACCAAAGGTAATTGGTTTCCTTACTCGGCAATACTCTTGACCAGGAAATGGAGAATCTATAGGCGTCCATCCCCATGTCTTTCATCAGTTTTATGTCCTCCTACAAATAAAAACATTCTCCAATAAATAAAAAAATATTACTTTTACAAAATAAATAAATAATTAAATAAGAGAAAAGTTTATTTAGAGCTAAGGATCTAAATAATCAAAGTTGAACCTATCTCGAAAATTTCATTAGAAGAGGTAGTTTTGATGCTTAAATATCGATCATCTCGACATCAAGATACATAGACATGAGAAAAAAATAGATTTCAAATTTTGGAAGTAATATATTTTATAACGCATTCTTGGACCTTCAATTTTCAAGATTTTCAAGTTTTCAAAGATCTGCCGATCTACACTATTTTTTAAGTTTTAAACTTCATAAATAAATATAAAAATATATTTTAAGGCTATCACAAAGATTTCTATAATTGAAACCACATTTCTCCATACTATTTGAAGATAGGCTCTAATTTGATTGTTTAGAGCCTAGGCTCTATACAAACCGCATCCATTAAATAATCGCAAAGATATATAAGGAAGGATACTCAATAGACATTACTATTTAGTCAAGGGATATAGAGCTTAGGCTCTAAACAATCAAATTAGAGCATGAGGTTGTTTTGATGCTCAAATGTCATCAAATTGATCATCACGACATCAAGATGCATGGACATGAGAAAAAAAATGGATTTTAAGTTTTGAAAACGCATTTTTGGATCATCAATTTTCAAGATTTTCAGTTTTCATAGATATGCTCGGTCCACACTATTTTTGAAGCTTTAAATTTTATAACTAAAAATAAAAATATAATTTAAAGCTATCACAAAACTTTCTAGTATTGAAACCACATTACTCAATATTATTTGTAGGTGGGCTCTAATTTGATTGTTTACAGCTTCGGCTCTATACAAACCGCACCCTTTCGTCAAAGAGCACTTTCTCCCAACACTTTATGAAAGATTATGCGTCAGATTAGAAAGTAGAAATGTTATTATATATAATACTATTATAGAAATTGTATATTACTAGAATGTTTATTTTTTATACAACAATGCCACAATCACTGTTGGTGGTCAATTGTGAAATTGCATGGCCAAAGATGCGTCAATAAATAAGTTAGATTTGCGTTTACTGATGAATAGCACAGTTCCAAACATCCAACTTGAAATCTAATGATTAAAAGTAATTCTATGCATTTACCATGTGGAAGGCATGCATACTTTTAAGGTTCTAATAAAATGTTATTAACCTCTAACATGGTTTATTAGCTTTTCTTTTGAAAGAGAAAATCATGTTCCCGAAGACCACGCTATTTGGCTTGAGCGGTACCTCATAAGGCTACAGCTCTGCTCTAGCGGCTTTCTAGTCTGTCGCTAAGCGGCGACAGCACTAGCAAGTGCTAATGCTAGTGCTAGTGCTCTTTCTCAAGTGCTTAGTGCTTTGCTTTCACCCCCTATTCAAAATTCTTACCCCTTGCCCGCCCCCCCCCCTATTCAAAAATACCTTCCAAAGGGTCCTTCCACTCGCAAAAACAAGTTGCATCTCTCCCTTTTGTAAGAGTGTTGGACACACCTATTCCACCCCTACTTAAACGCCTGGTGGTATACATGGGCTATAGCTTTTTGCATCCACTCTAAAGTAAAAAAAGTCAATTTTTTTACTAAAATTCCCCTATTTTAATACATGTTTTTCTTTTTCTTACCATGCTCCTACTTTATCTCTCTAAGCTAGTCTAAAACAAAATGTGCCAATACGCCAACTTGAATATAGACACCAATCTAGCATATTTTCTACTAGACCGGTACAATTTTAATATGAACCTTTCTAACACATTTTGTGCCTGAGCGATACAAGTTTAATATCTAAAGTCGGTTCGGCACATTCATGTTGTCAGATTGGACAGCACATTTTGAGCATCATAAGCCAAAAACGTATGCCAGACCAGCAAATGTTGAGCATCACATTTTGGAGAGAAATATTGATTGAAATATGAGATTGCGTTCGAAAAGATCATTTATCTTTTGTACATGAAGGTCACAATTATTCATATCCTCTTAAATTTCAAATTTAGGTGGTTGTAAGAGTGTCATTGAATAGATACAAAGTTTCAAAAATATAATTCTTGACTTCGTGATTCACCCTAAGCCATCAAATTTGACATCTAATAAGTGGAATTGATTATGCCCTCCATGTATAAAAGATAAATGATCTCTATGGGGTATTTTGGCTTAAAAAATTAACTTTTTCATAAGGGTGGTAATGGACCTAGACCCGACCTAGGACCTGATCCAGGGTATGGGTCCAAGTCCTAGTCCTACATTTTATTTTTTGGGTGTGGGTCCGGGTCCTATGACTTCAGGTCTGAGTCCCATAATACTTTTTCAGGTCTCGCTCTGCGACCGACGAACTCGTTGTTTTCACTTGTGGGGAGTGGATGCAAGAATATATTAATAGTGTGGTATAAAAAATATTAAGGGGCATATACCAAAAAAGTACAATCTAGGGGTATTTATAATTGGGTGTAGTTTCTATAAAGTTGAACCTTAAACAATCCAATTGAGGTGCACATCTAAATTTTATCATAACATGTAATTTTCGTGTAAAGAATTTTTAATATTATATAAAAATCTATTTTTATATCTAATTAGAAAATTTTAAATTTCAAAAATGGTTAAAATCAAGTACATTTATAAGCCTATGAAAATCTTGAAAATGGATGATCTAGATAATGTGTTGCAAGATGCACTATTTCTAATACTCAAAAAAACATTTTCTTTTTTCATATTCATCCATATCGATATCGAGATGATCAATTAAAGGGTTTTTCAATGTTAAAAAAACCTTTTTCAATAAATTTTTTAGGTGGATCTTCATTTCTACATTTTAAAGTTGCAACCTTATATAAACTTCTTCTTTTTTTCAACTCTAAATCAATTTTTTTGTATTACAGTTACCAAGATCGAATCGGACCACCTGTTGTGACGGTTGACTAATTCCTTGTCTTTTCCAATTTTCAAAAGTCACGGCACATAAAGTTCTCCATGATTAACGAAGTATCCTAATTTTTTTAAAGGAAAAGTTCTTTATGGGCGACGCAAAACTACATTTGCGTCCTCGAGGCATCACACATCCATCTTGAAAGATAGGCGTAGAATGATGGCCCTTCCAGAAAGATAAAAAATCAATGTAATAAAAGTTTTTTTCAAAATCTTTTTGTTTTTAATTTCTAATTTTTTTAATATATTTTAAGTTAAAGATTATTATGCCTAAAAAAAATTAAGTCCGAAATCCATCTAAAAAATATATCAAGAGGGATGCACAACATGTAAAAGTCAACAACTCATAAGAACAGTATCCTTTTGTAAAGCAGATGCTTTACCCAAATAAGATGAGCTGATGTTCTTTTCTATGAAAGAAATTTCAGAAAAATTCAAGCTCCCCATACTTGTCCTTCTCATAAATGACTGACTACTACAATCCAAATTTATATGAAAAATAATTTAATTGACCAGACCATGAAAACGACAAAAATAAAGTATCAATAAAAGTAACCAAAAAAATAGCAAATAAACAGAACTGATAAGAAGCCAAAAAAAAACTTTAAAATAAAACTCCTGTTCATTTAGGGTACTAATAATTTCAAAAATTCAAAGGGCTTCATATGATTCGTTTTTTACTGGTTACAAGACTACTACAATCAAGAATAAATGGAAAAGGAAAATTATACAATGATCCATTGAAAAAACATACTTATACTATGATCTATGCCCATCATCTTCCGGTCATTGATTTGAACGATGATGGAGAGAGAGAGTGTGTAACCAGTCGCATAGGACATCGATACTACTGTACTTCTCAGTCCATCTCCATCACCATCCAACACATTGATTGGATTCTCATGGCCACACGTTACATGTGGTCTCTCAAAATTCACAAAAAGGGAAAGAAAAGAAGAAAAAAAAAGAGACCGAACCTTATATCGATGATACGAATCATCTGCCACATCTCCATTGCTACGATCTTGGATCCTCTCTGCACACAACAACTAAATTCACATGCACCAAAGTATCCATGTATGTATGTATGTATGTGTAGCATACAGCATGTATGCATGTGCTTATGTATGTATTATTGCATGCATAATACCTGGGTGTTCATGGGTGTAAACATCCCAGATACTTGGTCCTCTTCTACCTTCATTGGCTCCTCCTTCATACTAAAGCAACAGAGATTATTTTTATTTTGAGAAACTAAAAATCTTTTGAAAGTAGACAAAAAGCAAAAAAAAGTAGTAATACCAACCTGGTAGGAAGCTGATGCAGTGCCAAAAATGAAGTCTTTTGGGAAGCTACTCCTATGAATAGCAGCCACTGAGAATTGAAAGAAGAAGAAAGAGAAGAGAAAGAATATATTTTTTGAATCCATTTGGAGAGGGGTAATTTGGGGTTTGCTCTCTACCAGTATTATTGGCCCTCATATATAAGAAGGCCACCCTCTAGATAAGATGCTGAGGACCCTTACTTTATCAAGAATGACAACTTTGTCCTTAAATTATTTCATCATATTATCAACTATTCTTGTGCCTTCTGTGTCAGGGTTCATATTTCAATGAATTTCAGATTCTTTTTGTCACTTTTGTCAAAAGCATGGGCCCTAACTGTCCTTGTCCAAAATTAGGATTTGGCTCTCGTCTTAATTGGAAGGTTGTGATTTTTATAAGGTTGTGGCTCTGGCCTTTCCAAGACTATATTTCAATCTCCAATACTACTGTAATTATATATTTTTTTCCAAAAAAAATCATAAATTTGTCAATTTTTATTGCTGGCTAGCTTGGAAAAGGTCTAATGCAACTTGACAGTTGCCCAACACCTTTGAAAGGTCTCAAACCACTAAACTAAGACGCACACACTCTCACTCTCTCTCAAGGAGAAATCAAGATTAAGTCGAAGAGTTTTGAATTCCACTGTAAACTGAATATCAACTTGTAGGGATTTACAATTTGAAATAGAAACCATCTAATAAATAATAAAAAGGTCTAACATTCTAAGAATTGAACTTTCTATTTTTCTATATTATTTCTTAGTTATTTATTTTCTTTCCCTTTTTCCTTGCGTCTCTCTAAAGTGTCAACATTCAATTAAACTTGTTTGAAGCCAAATTTCAAATTTTAAAGGCTTCCTCAAACCAAAGTTCAAATCTTTATTTTCTTGAATGTTAGCACTTCCTTTCACTAATGTTGTAAAAAATGATATACTAAGTGCTATATAAAATTAAGCCTATACATATAAGACAAATCCTTTTGACCCGAATCGAAATCTTGGCTCTACTCTCCTTTGCACAGACAAGCCAGCTTTTAGTCTTTTTTTTTTTTTTTTTTTTTTTCTTTTTTTTTTTGAACTTTGATGCTATTTCATTAAGAGAATGAAAAAGATACAGGAGGGAAATATAAGAGTGGTCCAAGGACCACAAAAACAAAAAGGACAATGAAAGAAACACGTAAAAAATAAAAAAAAAAGCAAAAAAAGGGGAAAATGGGGGACACTACTGAAGGTAGGAAGCTGTCACAGATTTAGCAAGGTTATCAGCCTAGGGAGTTGCATTCCATGTTTACATGTTGGAAGACTTGCCCCAAAAGTTAAATAGGAGTTCTCATCCATGACGTATCTCCATTTCCAAAGGTGGATTGAGGGTCTTTACACCACCTAATGAGATAAGTAGAATATCATTGCAGTTCTAACTTGACAACTCTAAATTTTAGGGCCATTAATTCTGCTTCGTTAGTCCCACATGAATCCCAGCACCTCGTAAGTTGATGCAGGGAGAAATAATAAATCCGAAAAATAGAAATATAAAATAAAAATAGTCCAGAGAATATAACATTTTTCTAAATTTATAAGGGAATCCACCCCAAAAATATCTTTTTACAAGCCCAAAAATATCTTTTCTCAATATTAATTTTATTTAATTCTATTCTCTGTTACTTACAATGAGTGACTCTTTTAAATATACTTAAAAGATAAATAAATAAATAAAACCCATAAAATATGAAATCTATATCTTTCTATTCTCCATATAAATCTCATATCTATCTCTTTAAATCTCATGTTATCTTCTCTATCTAAAATATCATCATCATCATAGCTTTTTTCCAATTAATTGAGGTCAGTTACACGAAACTTGGTCTGTCATCGTCATACCCTCCGTGAGGTCCCCCATATCTTAGGTCATAAATCCCCATATCTTTTTAACTACTTCCAGCCACAGACTTTTGGGCCTCACTTTTAATTCTTTCTACTTTCGAACTACTTCCAGCCACAGACTTTTGGGCCTCACTTTTAAGTCTTTCCACTTGAACTAACTCGCACCCCATAACATGTATTGTACTTGGTAAGTGCCACACATGACAGGCTCACCTAAGTCTACTCTCTCTTATCCCATCGTCTATTGGTGTCAATCACATCCCATAACAGGTATTGTACTTGATAAGTACCACACATGACTAGCACACCTAAGTCTGCTCTCTCTTATCCCATTGTCTATTGGTGTCAATCCTAAATTCTCTCGAATTTATTCATTTCAAATTCTATCTTTTCTTGTTTTACTACTCATCCATCTCAACATCCTCATCTCCGCAACTTCTCTTTTTAAAAGATAATAAAAACTAATTTCCACTTATCTTAAAAGATAAGCTATTTCCTAATTTCCTTCGAGCAGTGATTTCATACAACGGTTGTATTGAAGTATAATGCAAAAAAACCATGTTTGTGGTATTTGTATGATTCAAAATTTTGCACATACACTCTCTTCATCTCAATAATCAATCCAAAAGAAAAAAAAAAGTTCAATTTGAACCCTAGATATGGTCAAAATTAAACCCCTCCAACAACGAGAGACCATCATTTGGTGAATTTCAAGATCTTAGTCATTACAAACTCAAAATCATTTTTTTCTTTTTTAACATTGTTCATCTAATAATAATAAATCCATCTAAAAAAAATGGAAAAGAAAAAAAATCCTTCTAAGGCCTAGATCTAAGCATCTTATCAAAATGGACAGCCTATGTTAATTGGACTAAAAAAATACTTTTTAAGTTTCATTTTCTTTTCTTTTCTTTTGTTTTTTTTTTTTTTTTCTTTTCTTTTCTTTTTAATTGATTGTTCATTAAAGTGAAAGGAGTGTATATTTCAAAAGTTAGATCAAACGAATGGGCCTAACATGATTTTTGAAAATTGTTGCATTATACGATGATACAACCGTTGCATGAAATCACTACCCATTTCCTAAACCACAACTCAAGCCCTACTAAAACTCACGACATAAAACTCATGCTACACCTAACTTCCCTCAACAGACTTCCTATTCCTAAAATTAAAAGAAATATGATATAAAACTAAATTAAATAACCTCACTTTTTTATTTGCATCATAAGTCCGTAAGATGTGGCTCATATCATTCTCTGCAAGCCGCCGTATACCGCTACCTGAGTAGCACTCCTAACACTGCTATATTTGACTAACCTCACCAAAAAAATTTTGTGGTATAGGGGATTTTTTTCCTCTACCCCGGGTATTTTTCAATATAATTTAGGATAAAAAAGTCATTTTTTAATGAAAAATAGAACATCAATTGGAAATTTCATCCTACAAGACAAATCTATCTCTCTCACTCAATGTCCTCCATGCACGCCACATGCCCCTCTCTCTCAACGTTTGACGCCATCACAAACTCGTGCGAAAGGAACCGAGGAAATTAATTCTAGTATTCTTTCCATCTTAGAACACACAAATCCGTATTACACGAGGAGGGAATACGGCTATAAATTACGTCAAAAAAAATGAAAACTTGTACCGTAAATAAACACTACAAAAATACGAGAAATGAGCCGGTCGTAGCACCCCACAACCCTATTCATCGTATTATGGTTTCCATTCCCACCACTAACACCATCCCCCATTTGTATTTAAAAAAAAATGTTATAAAAAAATCAATCAGGTTCAAGGGACTAAAATAAAAAAAAACCTTTAAGGGAGAGAGAAAGAGAGAGACTAAAATAAAAAAAAGCCTCTAGGGGAGAGAGAGAGACGGGGCAAGTGACATTCAAAGAGATGGCAATTCCAGATATGTACTTTTTTTTTTAATTTCAAATTTGAAAGTCATGTTGGTCTTAAATTAATATTAAAAAGTGCCGAAGAAAAAGTATTGTGGAGGTAATGAGTGTAGTAGACTTTTTAATTTCATTTTGAAAAGTCATTTCCGTGTTAAATTATATTAAAAAATGCTCAAGAAAAAATATTTTGGGGTAATAAGTGCAGTAGACTTTTCAATGAAATGTATTGAAATGTTATATATGGGGAATTACACATAATTTTCCCTTAAAAATATGCATAGTTTATCACTTGTTCGTTTTATGAGTTAATATGAGGTTTACAGAGCAACAAGTATTTTGCATGTAACGATAAGACGTTTGATGCTCTCTTTTTATATTATAATGGGTATTTTGCATGTAACGATAAGACGTTTGATGCTCTCTTTTTATATTATAATGGAAGTATTGATGCTCTTTCTCGCTACTATTCAACCACCATTATCTTTTGAATGAAAAAGTGCAAGCCCCAACTCTTTTAAAAGTATATAGAAAGCTCACTTTGTGTAATCCATTTGTTGGTACTCAAAAGCTCTCTCTCTCTCTCTCATTGTTTCTTTTTTTTTTATTGGTAGCATGAATTATGAAGAAAATAGATCCTA